AGTGGTAACTGGAATATTAATAGCTATAATTATTTCTTAGTTCCATGCTTTTCAGAAATAATTCTTAAATGTTTACTTACTTCATAATATAGCACAATAGAATCAGTTAGAAATTATGTAAGTTTGATATTAACAAATATCATTAATTTAACTTACATTTTTATTGATCTTGCTTGAAAAAATTAATTCAAAATATTAATTTATTTATTCACAAAAACAACAATTGATAATTTATCCTATTCTAAATATGAATAATAAAATCTGAGTAAGTTGCAGTCCTGGCTTCCATTTAATGAGTACACAGGAAACAAAACCTGAAATGAAAACTTTTCCCCCAAATATTTAAATCACATGTTTGATTTTATTTTGAAATGGTCTGGCTATAAGCAAAAATTTGTACATTCTTTTATTTCTCTAAATTTGACCTCTTTCCATGAATTTTCTTTGCCCCACTTCCAAATGCTGAGAGAATTCATGCTTCTCACTGAATTCACAGAGATCTTTAGAATGTTTTATTACTTAGTGTTAAATATGTTGAATAAATACTGGCTTATGTTCCTAGGTTACTTTTCTCCCTTCACTGATTGGTTAAATCATCAATTCTTTCAAGTAACAACTTTTAAAGAAGCTGGAATCTAGAAATTCATCAGGAGTGGAGATCATCAAAAACATAATTATTTTATATTGTTAACATTTTAGTATATACAGGTAAATTCAAATACATAAAGAGTGTGGAGAAAATTAAACCTAATATATTCTTAATTGATGTGATATGAATGTAGCAAATATACAAATCACATTCCCACAATAGGAAACAAATTTCCTGTTTGAATTTCTCTGTAAAGGACTGACTTCTGAAATCTTTATGTAAGTAACAGTCAAGATAGTTGATGAGGCCGTAGTTCTTGAAAAAGGGGCATGGGAGGGAATTATAGACATTCTACAAATAAAAAAACCCATAAATGTACATATTTTAAAAAATTAACAGTTGCTGTAATAATATAAAATAGATACATGTATGTTTTAATATACACAGCACACACACACTTTTAAATACTTAAATGTCTCAATGTTTTGATGATCATAAATCTGAAAGGATCTGATTTTTCTGTAAAATGTAGCTTGGGAGGTAAAGAGGTTAATGGTAAGTTGTCTTGAATCAGATTGAAATCCCATCGTACCAACAGTTAATATTGTTTTACTTAACCTCTATGTGTTTATAAAAAGTGAATAATATTAAAACTTATTTCAGAGGATTGTGAGAGTTTAACGGGATAATTCCATTAAGACAAGTAGAAAAGTGGCTGTCACGTGGGAAACATTTCCAATAGATGTCCACTGTTAAAACAGGAATCACAGTATTTTACTGTATGTCATGAATTAGCACAATTGATAGTAAATTAGTATAAAAGTTCTAAGGAAATATTTAGGTAAAATATAAGGACTTTGAGGAGTGACCGAAGGATATTACAACTGAAACTACAAATTTTGGGAACGTTCAAACGACATACAAGGAAAAGAAGATATATTTACATATTTAATACTTACACATTTAGCCACATGATGTCGCTGTCCACCACAAAGTCTTTCTCCATAAAAGACAGCGTGCATTACGTATTCAGATACTGCTTTGCTTCATCCTCTCTAAAATTTAACACCGAGGAGTTTAAGAAATGAAGATAGGGAACTCGAATTATTTTTAAAGTTTGGATCAATGTAAAGGCAATCTAATATTTGGAAAATGCTTGCAATATTCTCCTGGCGAGAAGATCCTGGAGCCCAGTGCCTGCTGCTTTCTCTTCTGCTCCTCGCAGCCTGGGAGGTGGGGAGTGGCCAGCTCCACTACTCCGTCCCCGAGGAGGCCAAACACGGCACCTTCGTGGGCCGCATCGCGCAGGACCTGGGGCTGGAGCTGGCGGAGCTGGTGCCGCGCCTGTTCCGGGTGGCGTCACCTTCTGGAGGTAAATCTGCAGAATGGCATTTTGTTTGTGAATTCTCGGATCGACCGCGAGGAGCTGTGCGGGAGGAGCGCGGAGTGCAGCATCCACCTGGAGGTGATCGTGGACAGGCCGCTGCAGGTTTTCCATGTGGACGTGGAAGTGAAGGACATTAATGACAACGCGCCAGTTTTTCCAATGGCTGTAAAGAATCTGTTTATTTCCGAATCCCGACAGCCTGGCTCTCGGTTTTCGCTAGAGGGCGCATCAGATGCAGATATCGGAACAAATTCGTTGTTGACTTACAGTCTTGATTCCACTGAATATTTTACCTTGAACGTTAAAAGAAATGATGAGGAAATTAAATCCCTTGGACTCGTGTTGAAAAAAAATTTAAATCGAGAGGACACTCCTAAGCATTATTTACTAATAACAGCAATTGATGGTGGGAAACCAGAGCTCACTGGCACGACTCAACTAAAGATCACTGTTTTAGATGTAAACGACAACGCCCCAGCGTTTGAGAGGACGATCTATAAAGTCAGATTATTCGAAAATGCACCAAATGGTACCCTAGTGGTGACTGTTAACGCCACAGATTTGGATGAAGGAGTAAATAAGGATATCGTATATTCTTTCAATACGGACATGTCAACAGATATTCTGTCAAAATTCCATTTAGATCCAGTCAATGGACAAATCAGTGTAAAGGGTAACATAGATTTCGAGGAAAGTAAGTCATATGAAATCCAGGTAGAAGCCACGGATAAAGGAAATCCTCCAATGTCAGATCACTGCGCGGTTCTACTCGAAATTGTGGACATCAATGATAATTTACCTGAGTTAGTTATTAAATCACTATCTTTACCTGTATTAGAAGACTCGCCAGTTAGCACAGTCATCGCCCTAATCAGTGTGTCTGACCGTGACTCAGGTGTCAATGGACAGGTCACGTGCTCCCTGACGCCCCACGTCCCCTTCAAGCTGGTGTCCACCTACAAGAATTACTACTCGTTGGTGCTGGACAGCGCCCTGGACCGCGAGAGCGTGTCGGCCTATGAGCTGGTGGTGACCGCGCGGGACGGGGGCTCGCCTTCACTGTGGGCCACGGCCAGCGTGTCTGTGGAGGTGGCCGACGTGAACGACAACGCGCCAGCGTTCGCGCAGTCCGAGTACACAGTGTTCGTGAGGGAGAACAACCCGCCGGGCTGCCACATCTTCACTGTGTCTGCGGGGGACGCGGATGCGCAGGAGAACGCGCTGGTGTCCTACTCGCTGGTGGAGCGGCGGGTGGGCGAGCGCGCGCTGTCGAGCTACGTATCGGTGCACGCTGAGAGCGGCAAGGTGTACGCACTGCAACCGCTGGACCGCGAGGAACTGGAGCTGCTGCGGTTCCAGGTGAGCGCGCGCGACGCGGGCGTGCCATCTCTGGGCAGCAACGTGACGCTGCAGGTGTTCGTGCTGGACGAGAACGACAACGCGCCAGCACTGCTGACGCCTCGGGTGGGTGGCATCGGTGGTGCAGTGAGTGAGCTAGTGCCGCGGTCAGTGGGTGCGGGCCACGTGGTAGCGAAGGTGCGTGCAGTGGATGCTGACTCAGGCTACAACGCGTGGCTTTCGTACGAGCTGCAGCCGGGGACTGGTGGCGCGCGCATGCCGTTCCGCGTGGGGCTGTACACGGGCGAGATCAGCACGACGCGTGCCCTGGACGAGGTGGATGCCGCGCGCCACCGCCTACTGGTGCTGGTGAAGGACCACGGTGAACCCTCATTGACCGCCACAGCTACTGTGCTGGTGTCGCTGGTGGAGAGTGGCCAGGCACCCAAGGCCTCGTCCCGGGCGTCCGCTGGCACCACCGGCCCTGAGGCTGCACTGGTGGATGTCAACGTGTACTTGATCATCGCCGTCTGCGCAGTGTCTAGTCTGTTGGTGCTCACACTGCTGCTATATACTGCTCTGAGGTGCTCTGCGCCGCCAATCGAAGGCACGTGTGGGCCGGGCAAGCCCACGCTGGTGTGCTCCAGCGCGGTGGGGAGCTGGTCATACTCGCAGCAGAGGCAGCAGAGGGTGTGCTCTGGAGAGGAGTTGCCCAAGACCGACCTCATGGCTTTTAGCCCTAGCCTTCCTCCTTGTCCAATTAGCCGGGATAGAGAGGAGAAACAGGATGTGGACGTTGATCACTCAGTCAAAGTGAGTAATTTTTATTTATTCTTTCCAAAATGTCTTTTTCATTCCTCAATGTTTCCACTATTTTGGAAATACGTTAATAGTTAAGTATGAATTATGTGATTCATAATTAGACTTTTCCAGTTTTTTGGTTTTGTGGTTAAAATGCTAAGATTTTTGTTGCTAATTTTTGAACCAAATCAGCAGTAAGTCATGAGATCCACACTTGTAATTTTGTTTGTTAGCAGGTGCAGTAGTAGGATTATTTTATTGCTAAATGCCTGGGTATAAGACAAATATTTTTTCTAGATGAGTTTCATTATTTAGAGAATTTGATTTCGACTCGTTTCATACTTATCCCTCCCTACACAATGCTTCTTCAATATCTTTTGCCACTTTTCATTTGGACTTCCTACTACCTGTTAGTACGAATGTTACTTGCTCATTTTATGAGTTCACCTAAATGCTTATAATTCCCTATTGATTATGCTTTTCCACCTTCAGTTTCAAAAATTAGATCATTACACCTATTGTCTTTTATGGAATCTCTTTTATTCTCGTATTCATTTGTTTGGAGTGTCAATCCTTCTTTTTCACTTGAATGTGATTCATTTTAGGCCTTGTGCTCTTATTTGGCAATACTGTTTATTGTTTGTTGATTTCCCAGTTGGGAGAAAAATCGAGAATAACAATTGCATTTAGAATTATATTTTTGTTCATCTTTAGTTTATCACTACTTTATTTAATACTACTTTAATAATACTACTGTATGTGTTCAAATTTATTTATTACCAATAACTCAAATATCAATATGAAGTGAAAATTTAATAGCTCTGTAGTATATTTATATATTCATTTTAAAAGAATATTTTAAACCTTGTTAAAAATAATTTTCAATCTGAACAATATCTTGAAAATAATTATGGTATCTAATTTTAAAACTATCCCTACTAGCAAAACTTTTTATCCATTAGTGTCTTTTACATACCATACTAAGGATGTCAATATGAAACAAGTTTGATAAGCCAATGTTTTAATGTTATTACTGGTTACCTTCTCTGAATAGCATCCTACCTATTAATGTGTGCCATGCAGTAAGTAGAAAACTCCAAATAACCAGAACCAAATAAAATTGAAGTTAGACTTTTTTCTAATCACTCCCCCCACACATTTGGTTATCTCCTCTAACAATTAGTTGGACTCCCATTTAAGTTTCCCTACCACTGGAGAGAAATAGTAACCAGCTGAAACCTGGTCAATACTCATTGACAGTGTGGGAGGTCTAACATGTAAAATAGATACTTTTCTTGACTCCTCTCCTTCTCCCGACTTTCATTTTCTTTATTTCCTTTTTTGCCACTATCCTTTGTTGCTCCCTTGTCCATGAAGTAGTAGCCATAGTGTGTCCAACTCAGGTCAATATTTTAAAAATTTAGTTCTGTTATCAGCTTCTTGAATATAATAGAGTCAGCCAAAGTACTTGTCCTCCCAGATATGGAACTTCAATCTTCAAATCCAGCTTGCCTCTTGAAATTCTTGTCTAACAAGACTCTTGGCAAAGACATTTTGAAGACTTTGGAATTTTTGCTTCGCAGATATATTGATGCTATGCCAAATAAATATTGAATAGCTACCAAATAAACATCCTTTTCTATTCTGCTGCATTCCCCATCTGTACATTAAAATACCTGGCAAATGAAAATATTACAAATGAAATGTGTGAAAATGGAATTCTTCCTCTTTTTTTCCAATGTGCTTGATGTCAATGATCATTTTGTAAAAATCTAGTTTGGGTCCCCAAATAGTGAAAGTACTCTGGTTTCTGTTTGATTCAGAAAGTTGGTGGGTTTTTTTGTTGTTGTTGTTTTGATTTTTGTGTGTGTGTTTGTGTGAATGTAGCTCTTCGATAGAGAGGGAGCATAAAGCTATTTTCACTACATTGATTTTTTGTTTAGACAAACAGGATGAGAAGAACTTTATGAATACAGGAGGCAAAGAAAGTTTTTAAATAGCTACCATTATGTCTTTATATATTAAATTTATTTATGTAAGAATAAATGTATTGTGGTTTATTTATTGGGAAGTCTTCATTCCCCATTAATACCCAGGATGATTCAAAGTTCGTGATTACCAAGAATTAGAATAAAAATTAAGCTAAAACCCAAGTTTTCAACATGGAACTTGAAATACATCTTAATTGGGGAAATGTCTAGAGACTTTTTTTGTGTCTTTAGAAAATTATACAGGCTGCCGAAACACCACATTTTCCCAACTAGCTATGCGATCACCTTAAATTAATGCATTTTATTAGGAAATGGAAGGAAACCAAATCTTTTCCACAGGGTAAATATTTAGCAAATATTAAGTAAGTCCCTTTGAGCTATTAAACAATTAAGATACAACTATTCCCTTTAAAATACATATTCCAAAAAAGGACACACATACTCAAATGCTTATGAGATAAATTAATGTAATAAATGGCCCACACGATTCCACCCTGGTGCTGCAGTTTGTAAAAGAAGAAAAAATACCTGTTTAATTGGTTTAATCATGACATTCTTCATGGGTCAGGGAACTTTTAAGTGGTTATAAAAATTGGCTTTAGAAGAGTTTAGAAATGATGTGGATTACTTATAGACAGGACAAAATGAACATGTTTGTTTATTGAAAAATGTTATTGGAAGCAGGAAATATTCAGTTTGGCTAAAATATATAAGCACTATAGGAGAAAATAGAAGCTTAGGCACATTACCTACTGGAGAACAAGCAAGTACTTATAAACTGTAAGAGTCAAAATGAGAATACCAGCCTCGCTCATGGGAGCAAATGAGTTCCAATGAATAAAATTATTTGGAATGCTTTTCCATGCAAGCTATTTGCTGTAACTTCCTGCTTCCTTGCACTTTAAGCCCTGACATGACTCAAGGAAGACATTTAATTAAATGCTGATGGTCTTTGATTCTTTTATAAAACATCTGAAAATTTCCCTTTCAATAGCTTGTTCTTGGAACTAGAAGTTCCCTAGAGACCAGTCCCCTTAAGTCTACAACACCAAAAATACTAGGGCGAAGAGGGTGTTATCATTAATAAAAAACCCTGGAATTCTTGGGAATACAGGAATCTTTAATGAATTTTTGTAATCAACACTTTACGGTTACATGTTTACAAAGTGTGTAGTTAGGTCTCTGTAATACTTAAAGCCTGTGTTGAAAAAATTATTTCTACTGAAGTAAAAGGTGCCCCTATGGTGAAACTAAGGACCACATTCAATCAATCAGTGGTACAATGTGTACCACAATAGTACAAAATGTATTCCTATTTTCCAAAACGGCTGAAAGAATAAATAAAACCAAGTAGTTTATAGTAGAGTGTGTGTGGATTTCCACAATTGCTACTTACGGTTTGGAGCCACATGATGTCGCTCTTTACCACAAAATACATGAGAGAAGAAAGAAGAGGGGAAAATTCCTTCTATTCTTACTGGAAGGAACTATATGCATTCTTTGGAGTCTGAAATATGGAGGATGCAGCTGCACTTGACCGACCGATCAAAAGATTTCTCTTGACTTTGAGAAACGATATTTAATCAGAACAAAACACTGTGCACTAAAGATGGAGTTTTCCTGGGGAAGCGGCCAGGAATCCCGGCGTCTGCTGCTCTTGCTTCTTCTCCTCGCAACCTGGGAGGCAGGGAACAGTCAGCTCCACTACTCGGTCTCCGAGGAGGCCAAACACGGCACCTTCGTGGGCCGCATCGCACAGGACCTGGGGCTGGAGCTGGCGGAGCTGGTGCCGCGCCTGTTCCGGGTGGCGTCCAAGAGCCGCGGAGATCTTCTGGAGGTAAATCTGCAGAATGGCATTTTGTTTGTGAATTCTCGGATCGACCGCGAGGAGCTGTGTGGGCGGAGCTCGGAGTGTAGCATCCACCTGGAGGTGATCGTGGACGGGCCGCTGCAGGTTTTCCATGTGGACGTGGAGGTGAGGGACATTAACGATAACCCGCCGGTGTTCCCAGCAACACAAAAGAACCTGTCCATAGCGGAATCCAGGCCGCTTGACTCTCGGTTTCCACTAGAGGGCGCCTCGGATGCCGATATCGGGAAGAACGCCCTGCTCACTTACAGACTGAGCCCAAATGAATACTTTTCTCTGGAAAAACCATCTGATGATGAGCTGGTAAAAGGTCTTGGGCTTATACTATGGAAATCTTTAGACAGAGAAGAAGCTCCGGAGATATTTTTAGTGCTCACAGCCACTGATGGAGGCAAACCCGAGTTGACTGGCACTATTCAGTTACTCATCACAGTACTGGATGCCAATGACAATGCCCCAGCTTTTGACAGAACCCTTTATAAGGTGAGATTACCAGAAAATGTTCCTAATGGAACACTGGTAATTAAACTTAACGCCTCAGATTTAGACGAAGGATTGAATGGGGACATTGTTTATTCATTCTCAAATGATGTTTCGCCAAATGTGAAATCCAAGTTTCACATAGATCCAATTACTGGACAAATTATTGTAAAGGGATATATTGATTTTGAAGAAAGCAAATCCTATGAAATTATTGTAGAGGGCATTGATAAGGGACAGCTCCCACTTTCTGGCCATTGTAGAGTTATTGTGGAAGTAGAAGACAACAACGATCATGTCCCAGATTTGGAATTCAAGTCTTTATCACTTCCAATTAGAGAGGACGCTCCACTGGGTACAGTCATCGCCCTGATCAGCGTGTCCGACAAAGACATGGGTGTCAATGGGCTGGTCACCTGCTCCTTGACGTCCCACGTCCCTTTCAAGCTGGTGTCCACCTTCAAGAATTACTACTCGTTGGTGCTGGACAGTGCCCTGGACCGCGAGAACGTGTCGGCCTATGAGCTGGTGGTGACCGCGCGGGACGGGGGCTCGCCTTCGCTGTGGGCCACGGCCAGTGTTTCTGTGGAGGTGGCCGACGTGAACGACAACGCGCCAGCGTTCGCGCAGCCCGAGTACACAGTGTTCGTGAAAGAGAACAACCCGCCGGGCTGCCACATCTTCACTGTGTCTGCGGGGGACGCGGACGCGCAGGAGAACGCGCTGGTGTCCTATTCGCTGGTGGAGCGTTGGGTGGGCGAGCGCGCGCTGTCGAGCTACGTTTCGGTGCACTCGGAGAGCGGTAAGGTGTACGCGCTGCAGCCGCTGGACCACGAGGAGCTGGAGCTGCTGCAGTTCCAGGTGAGCGCCCGCGACGCGGGCGTGCCATCTCTGGGCAGCAACGTGACGCTGCAGGTGTTCGTGCTGGACGAGAACGACAACGCGCCAGCACTGCTAGCGCCTCGGGCGGGTGGCATCGGCTCAGTGAACGAGCTGGTGCCATGGTCGGTGGGTGCGGGCCACGTGGTGGCAAAGGTGCGCGCGGTGGATGCTGACTCAGGCTACAACGCGTGGCTTTCGTACGAGCTGCAGCCGGGGACTGGTGGCACGCGCATCCCGTTCCGCGTGGGGCTGTACACGGGCGAGATCAGCACGACGCGTGTCCTGGACGAAGCGGACGCTCCGCGCCACCGCCTACTGGTACTGGTGAAGGACCACGGCAAGCCCGCACTGACGGCCACGGCCACCGTGCTGGTGTCACTTGTGGAGAGTGGACAGGCGCCAAAGGCCTCCTCACGGGCGTTGTCGGGCGCTGTGGGTCCCGAGGCTGCGCTGGTGGATGTCAACGTGTACCTGATAATCGCCATCTGCGCGGTGTCCAGCCTTTTGGTGCTCACGCTGCTGCTGTACACCGCGCTGCGGTGCTCGGCACCGCCCACCGAGGGCGCATGCGCTCCGGGCAAGCCCACACTGGTGTGCTCCAGTGCGGTAGGGAGCTGGTCATACTCGCAGCAGAGGAGGCCGAGGGTGTGCTCTGGTGAGGGCCCACCCAAGACCGACCTCATGGCCTTCAGCCCCAGTTTACCTGACTCTAGGGACAGAGAAGATCAGCTGCAGACAACTGAGGAATCCTTTGCAAAGGTTAGTGTATAACATCCTTTTGTTTAATTTTCATATTGTTTTTCTCTATCAACTTCTTCGTAAATTTATTTCTAAGAATCAAATTTCCCTGGGTTAAAATTTTACCTCTTTTTACATATCCATTTTAACTAAAGTCTTTTGGAATTACAGGACATCAAAGTAATATATATTGCCTTCCTTCGTTGTATGCTGCATTATTCAATGCATATTAACAGGACTGTAATTTCTAGTAAATTTTCACTATATTCGCCTTCTTTATTTTTGGTAATACGAACATTTAGAAAACATTTTACTATTATTTAACCTATAACACATAAACAAATGTGCAGAGGCTGAAATAATAAAGCTCCATAAATTGTATGAAAGTGAAAACATCTATTGCCTCCGTCGCTGAAGCCCCTCACATGCACTTGCCAAATCACTTCCCTTGTTTTTCCTCCAGTGTAACTGCACATTTGCCTTTTATATCTGTGTTTATTCTGGGCCTGTTTTGGGAACATATCCTAATTGGAATTGCACAACGTGTATTGTCTGTGCATTTGTGTGTTATTTATATTTATCACTCATTGTTTGTGAAATTATCCATGTTGTTACATGTAGTTGTAGTTCATTTAATTCTATTTCTAGTACTATTTCATAAATATACTATATATTATTTATTCTACTGTTCAGGAATTTGCATTGTGCCTCAATGTCTATTTCAAATAATGCCATCATAAATATATTGCACATTTCTTTGATGCCCATGTACACAGATTTCTCTTAGGTTTTTACCTAAGAGTTGTGTTTGTGGGTCACAGCATATGTGTGTATCTTTGTCTTTTGTAGCTAACACCAACCAATTTTCCAAGATGTTTTTACCTATTTACATTCCTAGTAGTGTATAAGGCTTTCTGCTACTCCACATCATCTCTACATTTGTCAGGTTATTTTCATGTTAGCCATTTTACTGGGCAAGTTTTGTAATCTCATTTTGAAATTATTTTATGTTTAAATGAAGTTGAGTACCTTTCTATTTTATTTTGGCAATTTTTATACCTTATTTTGTGCAATAGCTGTTCAAATCTCCTATTTCTCTAGTCTGTTGTTTTTCTTTTCTTTTTTCTCTTCTTTTTTGCTTCCATAAAACTTTCTTTCTTTCTTTATCTTGTGTTTTTCTTATTACTTAAACAAATCTTATATTCTGAACATAACTCCTTTTTTTTTTAAGTAGTTTTCAACCTCATGGCTTGTTTTTAATTCTATTTGTCTTTTGGTGAATAGAAAGTTGTAATTTTGGTTAAACTCAATTTATCAGTTTTTGCTTCTGATCCTATTTCATAAAGATAATTCTCTGTGGTATCTTTTATTTCATTGTTTACATTGCATCTATAATCCATTTGGAATACACATTTTTATCATTGTTGTGAGGTAGGGATCAATATTTATTTTTATTTCTTCTTATTATTTTTATTATACTTTAAGTTTTAGGGTACATGTGCACAATGTGCAGGTTTGTTACATAGGTATACATGTGTGCCATGTTGGTTTGCTGCATCCATCAACTCATCACTTACATTAGGTATTTCTCCTAATGCTATCCCTCCCCCAATCCCCCACACCTCAACAGGCCCTGGTGTATGATATTCCCCACCCTGTGTCCAAGTGTTCTCATTGTTCATTTCCCACCTATGAGTGAGAACATGCGGTGTTTGGTTTTCTGTCCTTGTGATAGTTTGCTTGTGATGCTTTCCAGCTTCATCCATGTCTCACCCTTTTTTATGATTGCATAATATTCCATGGTGTATATATGCCACATTTTCTTAATCCAGTCTATCACTGATGGACATTTGGGTTGGTTCCAAGTCTTTGCTATTGTGAATAGTGCTGCAATAAACATACGTGTGCATGTGTCTTTATAGTAGCATGATTTATAATCCTTTGGATATATACCCAGTAATGGGATCTCTGGGTCAAATGGTATTTCTAGTTCTAGATCCTTGAGGAATCACCACACTGTCTTCCACAATGGTTGAACTAGTTTACATTCCCACCAACAGTGTAAAAGCATTACTATTTCTCCACATCCTCTCCAGCATGTGTTGTTTCCTGACTTTTTAATGATCGCCATTCTAACTGGCATGAGATAGTATCTCATTGTGGTTTTGATTTGCATTTCTCTGATGACCAGTGATGATGAGCATTTCTTCATGTGTCTGTTGGTTGCATAAATGTCTTCTTTTGAGAAGTGTCTGTTCATATCCTTTGCCCACTTTTTGATGGGGTTGTTTTTTTCTTGTAAGTGTGTTTAAGTTCTTTGTAGATTCTGGATATTAGCCCTTTGTCAGATGGGTAGATTGCAAAACTTTTCTCCCATTCTGTAGGTTGTCTGTTCACTCTGATTGTAGTTTCTTTTGAAGATTTATTTTTTACTACCATTTTTTGTTGGACTTTTAAAATGAGTTTGAAAGTGTTCCCTCTCCTTCAATTTTTTTTTTTTTTGAAGAGTTTGAGAAAAAATAACATTGATTCTTCTTTAAAAGTTTGGTAGAATTAGCCAGGAAAGACATCTGGTCTTGGGCTTTCTTTATTTTTATTTTTTGTTAGGAGGTTTGGATTACTGATTCAATCTCCTTACTAGTTATCATTTTGTTTAGATTTTTTATTGCTTCATGATTATGTCTTGGTAGTTTGTATATTTCTAGGAATTAATCAGTTTCTTCTAGGTTATTTAATTTGTTGGTATATAATTTTAATAGCCTCTTATAATTGTGGCATCAGTTGTAATGCCACCTTCTTTGTTTCTGACTCCCAGTCTCTTTGTTTTTATCTTAGTTAAGCTAAGGGCTTGTCAAATTTGTTGTTTTTTCAAAAATTCAACTAAGTTTAAAAACTTAATTTAAACTTTTTTTCCATTTATTTTTGCTCTAATCTTTATTATAGTGTTTCCTCCCTTTGCTTTGGGCTTCCTCATTTGTCCTTTTTTTTCTAGTTGCTTGAGTTGTTAAGTTTTTTATTTGAGATCTTTCTTCTTTCTTCATTTTTAGTGTAGGCATTTACAACTCCCTTCTTTGTTTTGTTTTCATTTTTAAGAGACAAGGTCTTGCTGTGTTGCCCAGGCTGAAATACAGAGGCACGATCATAGCTCCCTGTAAGTGATCCTTGTGCCTTGGCTTCCCTAAGCACTGGAATTACAGGTGTGAGCCACTGAGCTTGCCCAGCTTAATCTTCCTTCTTAGTACTGCTTTTATTGTATCCTGTAAGTTCTGATGTGTTGTGTTTTCATTTTTGTTTATCTTAACATATTTTCTAATTTATCTTTTGATTTCCCCTTTGACCTACTAGTCATTCAAAATTCTGTTGTTTAATTTCTATGTATTTGCAGATTTTCCAGTTTTAATTCCACTATTGATTTCCAGTTTTATTCCACTGTGGTCAGAAAAGATATTCAGTAAGATTTCAACCTTCTTGAATTTGTTAAGACTTGTTTTGTGACCTGATGTGTGATTTATCCTGGAAAATGCTCTGAGTATGTTTGAGAAGACTGTGTATTTGCTTCTGTTGGGTGGAATTTTCTGTATATGTCTGTCAGTTCCATTTCAGCTATAGTGTTGTTCAAGTCCTCTGCTTCCTTACTGATTTGCTGTCTGAATGTTCTATTCCTTATTGAAAGTAGGGTACCAAAATCTCCTACTACAGTCATATCACTTATTGATGGAGATACATTCTGAGAATTGTATCATTCTAGGAATTCATCACTGTGCAAACATGAGAGTGTACTTAAATATTTACACAAATCTGGATAGTATAGCCTACTACAGACCTAGGCTACATGATCTATTGCTTCTAGGCTACAAACCTGTACATATGTTAACTGTACTGAATACTATAGGGAATTGTAATACAATGGTAAGTATTTGTATACCTAAACATATCTAAACATCTAAAAGGTACAGTAAAACCATTGTATAGATTTTTAAAATGGTACACCTGAATAGGGTACTTACCCTATGAATGGAGGTTGCAGAGCTGGAAATTTCTCTGGGTGAGTCAAAGAGTGAATGGTGAGTGAATGTGAAGGCCCAGGACATTACTGTGCACTAATGTAGACTTTAAAACACTCTACATTTAGGCTACACTCAATTTATCAAAAATTTTCTTTTTATAGGCTGGTCATGGTGGCTCATGCCTGTAATCTCAGCACTTTGGGAAGCTGAGGAAGGAGGATCACTTAAGCCCAGGAGTTCAAGACCAACCTGGGCAATATAGTGAGACCCTGTCTCTAGAAAATAGTTTTTAAAAATTAGCTAGGTGTGGTGACACACACCTGTAGTTGCAACTACTCAGGAGGCTGAGGTGGGAGGATCCTTGAGTTGAGCAGGTCAAGGCTACAGTGAGCCATGGTCATGCCACTGTACTCCAGCCTGAGCAACAGTGTTAGACTCTGTCTCAATTTTTTTTCTTTCTTCAGTAATAAATTAACCTTAGCTTACTGCAACTTTTTAACTTTATAAACTTAAAATTTTTAAACCTTTTGACTCTTTTGCAATAACACTTAGCTTAAAACACAAACACATTGTACAGCTGTACAAAAATATTTTCGCTTTATATCCTTATTTTACAAGCTTTTTTTGATTTTGATTTTTTTTTATTTTTTTCACTTTTACTTAGTTTTTTGTTGTTGTTGTTGTTAAAAATGAAGATATAAACACCCATACTAGCCTAGGACTGTATTGGGTCAGAATCATCAATATCATTTTCACCTCCATATCTTGTCCACTGGAAGGTGTTCTGGGATAATTACACATGTGATGCTCTCATCTCCTATGATAACAATGTCTTCTTCTGGAATACGTCTCTAAAGACTTGCCTCAGGCTGTTTTATGGTGAATTTTTTTTTTTTAGTTAATGATTTTTTTAATAAGTAGAAAGAGTACATTGTAAAATACTACTAAAAAGTATAGTAAATACATAAAGCAGCAACATTTATTATCTATATCAAGTATTATGTACTGTATATA